TATAATGAAAAAATACAGATTAGCGTTTAAAATTAAGAAAATAAGGAAACATTAATAATAAGGATTTTTTTACTGTACATAAGATGCAAGTACATAGGACTCATAAAATAAGTAAAAACACAAAGACAACATTAAAAGAAGAATCATTATTAATAAATAAAATACTTTTAAAATTTAAAAAAAAAACTAAAAAGTTGGAAAACAAAATAAGGGAAATATATAATTTCGTCATCAGCTCACACAATTATATCCGCAATAAAAAGTGCTTTCTAAATTGTATTAATACAGACTAAACACAACATATCTACAAAATAGTATACTATTGTAGTGATCATTCGATTGTTTCTATCAAGAGTATGCTATTCGCTTTCGCTATATTTATACATTAGGGGCCGTTCAAAAAGTACGTACATCCCGAAGGGGGGGAGGGGATTTGCTATATTGTACGGTTTTGTACGATGGGGAGGGGGAGAGGTATTACACAAAGTACGTACATTATAAGCATACACCAAATTTAAATTTGACTTTTTCCTACACACTCCTTAAAAAAATATTTAATTTTAATTAAAACATAATTATTTTAATTTTTATGAAAAAGGGGGGTAGACTAATAAAATGTACGTACTCTAGGGGGGGGGGAGTAAGACCTTCTGTACGGTAATGTACGAAGGGGGGAGGGGAATAAAATTTCTCCATTTTTGTGTACGTACTTTTTGAACGGCCCCTTATTAGATCGTGTAAGCTGAATCGTGTAAGCTGAAGTCAAGATCCGATCTTTTTCGTAGTTATTCCGGTTTTTTTTTAAGTGTTTCTATTAATAATTAATAAATTTTCTTCTTCTCTTTAAAATATTTTTTTCCTTGTTTTATTTTTAATATAGTTTTAGTGTTACAGTTTTAGATGAATATAAATCTGATTAATAATTATAATATACTGAGCTAGAAGCGAACTTGTCTTAGTTCAATAAATAAATGCAACTCATTGGTCCGATCTACGGGATCATAATATTTAAAGTGGTAGTAAATTTCATGTTTATACATTTTGCTCTTTATTTAATGAATTTACTTTAAAATGATTTTGTCCACCAATACAAACAAGCAACTTGAATGATTTGCATACGTTTTATTAATTGTGAAATGCAGTGTGTAAATGCGGGCAAAATTAAACAAATTTTATTTTCCTTGAATTGTTGTTTGGTTATAGCCTTGAATATGAAGGGAAGCTAGTACTTCCGATTTCACAGCTATGTAAACCCTAAGAAGAATTAATTACGTAAGCACTGTATGATTATAAAAATCGGATATATTTCCTAAATATATTTTCATTACAACGGAATGTGTTAAACTTCATTCCAAACTCCACGAAAATCAACATAATTCCCGAATGTTAATTTTAGGTGAAAACTAATTTAAATTATAAAAGCAAAATATTTAAAAATATTTTATCAGATTTTCTTTCTAAAATATGCGTTTTTTTCCCTTTTTAAATTTCTGAACAAGCTCAACATTAAAAAATAAAATTGCGCACAAGAACAATCAAAGATTGATTAAAAAACCTGATTCAAAATAAAAATAACGCGAGTTCACGAAAGGAAAGAAAAACTGAATAGTTGTGAAAAGGATGAAACAAAATGCTTTTGAACTATAAATAGATCAGTTTAATATTTGTCAGATGATTAGCACGTTTTAGAATTCTTTGTTTAATTCAATAGCGTTTAGTTATCATTGTTTGTAGAATCGTTTCCAACGAGATAAGAAATTAACGATCAACGATATTGAAGATTGCGCCGTTGGAATATAAATTTGAAGAGAAATTAGTATTTTTATCATTTTTCCCGATTTGAGAATATCCTTAAAAAGAATAATGAGAAAATTGTTATGGAATAAGCAGACTTTATATTTAAGCACCGTGAAAACGTAAACTGAAGTAAAATTATACTTGCTACGTTCTCGCCAGATTCAAAACGTGAATAATTGGGAGAAAGTTAACATGAATAAGTAAAGTTTAGTGCTCATCACCTTTTTGTGCTTTATCGTGTTGGTTCGAAACATAGAATCGGTGGAAATTACATTTCAAGAAGATGGTAAGGAACTTGAAGTTAGAAAAGATGCAGCTATTGATCAACTAAATACTACTAGAAACAATAACCAATTAAATTTCGAAGGTAAGAGTCTCTTTTTTACTTTTTTAATCCTTTCGTTCCAAATTTACCTTTATTTTTTTTAAATTCATATGTTCTTCTTTTTTTAATGAATAAAATTCTACAGAGTAAAAAGCTAAATGCATTCTTAGGTTTAAATTTCATACCATAAAAGAAAAGATATTGTGGAAAATTTAATGAAAAATATGAAATTTTCAATTATGTTTTAATCCCAAAATAAATGAAAAAGGGAGATGGTTTAGACGTGAATCTCCTGTAGACAAATGGAATATTTCTGTCCTTTATCATTCAAAAATTCACTGATAATTCTGGCAGAATGGTAAAACTTTCATAGACTTTTATTTGTAATAACTGGTCAAATGACTAGAGTTTTAGGTAGCAAATTAAAAAAAAAGGATTATGGTAGGTAAATAACTTGTAAAAGTAAAGTAGTTGTATAACAACCGTTTTAAATAGTTTAATATTATATTAGATTTTTTACTTTTACGGTTTATAAACATTATACATATAGTTTCAGTAGAAAGAAAATGAATGATTTAATTAAATATTAATATTATATTAATATTATAATTAATTAATATATATATTATATTAATATTAT